CGCTGACCGCGGAAAGAGAACGTCCGCGATCTTGTCCCGGCAAGGACGAGGTCGCGAGCGCGACCTAATCTCTCCTCTCCTCTCTCTTTCTCTCTCTTCGAGCTCCCTGGCCAGCCGCGTTACACGCGAGCCCCTAACGGGGCTCGCTTCCGTCAGCGAGAGAGTATATATATATATATATATATATATATATATATATAGAGGAACATACACAGGGGAACTGTGGAGTGCAGGCATACCCCCGGGCCGCGTTGCACTTCGTGGGTGGGTGCATCGTGCTCGCACCCCCGAAACGGAAAGAGACGCATAGGCAGGGCGGTGGGGTGTACCTCTGGTGGTACCTGGTGGTGGTCGTGGTGGGAGAAGGGCAGCGCGGGAAGAGAAGAGAGAGGACGGGAGAGATGGGGTACCGGCGAAGGTTGAGCACGAGAGGGTACCATCGAGAACTCGCTTCCGTGTCCCAGTAGCACTAATGACCGCCATCCTACCTCCTCTCGTCCCTCTCACGCTGCTGTACCCCACCATCGCGCCCTTGTCCTCTTCCCACCACTGTGATCGCGTTCCCCACTGCGCGGTGACGCCCCTTGCTCCCCTCTCACTCTCTCTTTCTCTCTCAACCCTCCACGCAATACACATCCAGGATGACTCGAATTACGTCACAACGCCGAGAGCGTGCGACCTGCTCTCCTCTTTCTCCCTTTCTCTTCCTCTTTCCCTCGCTCCCTTCCCGGAAAAGGTACGTTTTACCTCCACGGAACCAACTACCCCGCGAGTCCCCACCTGTTTCCGCGGCGGGGTACACCGTGTACACGCGATATATGTGGCGCTCTATATATCTATTCCGCTATAGCGGCCGGCACTCGACGAGACCGAGGGGAAGCCGCCAGTCTCCGCTGGTACACCGAACTGCGTGCTTGCTCTTTCCTCGTTCGCTACGTACGCGCTCTCGTCGCGCAGGCTGAGAGAAGGAAAACAGAGAGGACAAGGGAGAAAAAAAGTTGAGAGAGGGAAAAGACAGAGAAAGAGAGAGGAAACTCCGCTCTCGTATTCACGATCATCTTGTACACGCGCGCGATCGTGGCGTGTATATATGCGTACACGCGTGTCGCGAAATCGCGGGATCGCCGGGATACGTCTAATAGTGTAACGCAAGGACCGCAGGATTTATCAGGACGTGTGTGTGGAGATGCTTTAAGCGGCTATCTCGAGGAGTAACATCCGCAGGTGTGTATTGTCGCGCGATAGAGTGCACGTGTACGTGCTCGTGACTACTGGAGCTTTGCTCTACGCGTTAATATGTCGCCTGTACTTGCATATGTTTGAGAGAGAGAGAGAGAGAGAGAGAGAGGAGGAAATTAATAGAAAAAAAGTATCAAGATATCCCGTATAGATAAATGAGATCATTCTTTTGATATCTCTTTGCCTATCAAGACTTTTTACCAAGCCTTTTCTAATGACCTTTTTTAATTGTTCTTTTAATCATACACACATATCGGCTGTCAACCGTCCGTTGCCTCGATCGATACCATCACCGAGGCTGTGAACGTCACCCTTTTTTTTGTCGTCGCCTTAATGAATTATTGATGTTATTAAACTTTAATGGTATCTTAATTATGTTTGATGTTATTAGACGGTAAAGCGGCGGGTCTTAACACCTGTCTTAATGCTTGTATAAACGCAACAGCTGTTACGATGCATCTCGCCAATAATTTCGTACCGCTCCATTTGCCGTGTCATATTAATCCGATCAACTTGTACGGGCTTGTATTAGATACTCGAATCGTTTCTCCAACTAAAGTCTTTATTTTGCGTATTATTACAATTTGCTCAGTTCGCTTATTCAATCTCGACTTCTCCTCGTCTTCTCGCACGCTTGTCTATTTATACAATATCAAATATTATCCTACCTAATAAGCAAATGACACGTCGTGGTCTCTCATTTGTTATCTCGCTCGCAAGTATATCGATTTGTAATACATGTCCAGTTCGCTCACAATTCGGAGCAACAGTTACAGATTAAATTTATATTTGTATTATTTAGTCACCAACACAACTCCATCTTTGATTGGCCGAAATTCATTTCTGCTTATTCTAGTGACAGGGGTTTCCTATTCATCATCATTCGATTGATGTTCCAGACTCTTGAATGAGTTGATATTTGTTAATCTTGATTATATCTACTGATGTTATATTTATAATCTTATTTAAATTAGTTGTCAATAGATACCAATCTAGTCTGATTAATCAAACAATGACGTGATGGCATTCGATGACATTAAAAGTCACGTTGATTCTCAAGATTCCAGGCTTTACCTTACCTTGATCAACATTTCTCTTCATTTTCGCAAATCTCATTTTTTGTGAAGTGTGAGCTTGCATGATAAAAAAAAAGACAAATCCTCTTAGGACCGGCTTCAAGGATCGTTACGCGGTCAAGGTTTACGGTAATCACGTTAGACAGCCGCAAAGCGACCTGCCTCAAGGCTGATCCCGAGGTGTGCGAAATCGTCGCCAAGTATCAGTCGATTATATCGGACTTGTGCGACCTTCGACGGGCCTAACTGTGGACTCTGAATGTGCCTCTTTAAAGACGTGCTACCACATTTCCATGCATCTCAACCTTACCGTAATGGATCTATCAGTGTGACACTTATTTAATTAAAGCCATTCGCTCGAAGGCGAATGGCTCTTTTATTATGGCTCGCGATATTTCTACATATCTAGAAAATCTGACATTTTGCTCCTAATGCCGATGATATTTAAAAGTATAAACTTTATCTCACAAAATGCAATAAATTATGATACTTGAAAAATAAAACAATAACAATTGGATTTATTTATTTATTCTATATAATTAATTAATTTTTATTATTGTTAATAAATGTTAAAAACATAATGAAATAATTTAATCGAATACAAAATATAACATTTAACGTGAAAGATATAAAAAAAAATATAGAAATAAAAGGAGGAATGCATAATATTGATATATGCTAATTAGCATAATATATAAATGATCATTAATAGAAAATGTTAATTTTTCCAAAAATAGTTTACTGTGGAATTGAAGCTCTTTGTAGTACAAGACATTCTATTGTCCGGTATAAAAGTAACTGCAAGAACTAAATTGATTACACGTGCATAATTTTTTCGCGGGTGCTCGTAGATTCTACACATCCATTCCTCTCTCGTTTATTTTAAATAATTTGTCTTACTCTGATCGATTCGCGTTGCCCAGTCTGAATCGATCAGTAGTGCATCCACTTGTTAGGCACACATTACATCGTAAAACTGTAATCAATTTCTTCGGGTGCTCTGCGCCCTTTTGCTTTCGTTCACTTTGACCTCGCTCGAGCAGGTTCTGTGTAAAGCTCACTATCGAGCACGAGCGCGCCTTACCCTTTCATATTAAATGTCTCGTAAATATTGACTTACAGTCGAGTAGGCGTGAGGATCGGATCGTCATTCGTGTTTTACGAGTGTTCAGCAACCCCGTCAACGGCTATAATTTGTACTCGCTTGTAGTTCACAGATTCGTATTACACACGCGTCTCATCGTTCTGTCCGCGTAATTTAAAGTCGCGATTGACGATACTACTCGGAGAGATAATGAAACATATAAGTACGTACATACTTACGTACATGTTACGTAAGATTATTGTATGTAGCGTCGTTACATCGCATTGCATTTGTCAAACGAGCCATAGGGTCTTGTTGCGAGATACAAGAAATTCTCGAATAGAACGAGATATAATATAATAAACTTACAAAATTTTAATATTAATTGTTTTCGTCCTAGTATTCTCTTTTATATTTTTATGTGATAAAAATGAAGTTATATAACAACTTAATACAATGTTTTAAATCTAATTATTACACAATGTGTGTATTTGTGTGCAAAAATAGTAATATTTTTTACTCAAATTCTTTTCATCTATTTTATAAAATAAAATGTAGCGTTCAAATATTAATACACTGCTAAATTAAATTGGTTTAGAACATGAAATGATTCAATGACTGGGACGCACCCCTGTGACACGTTTAGCACGTCATACTTTTGCTCGTATTTATCTCTCGAAATCGCGATGTCCCCGTCGCATTCGTCAACGACAGATTTAACTTTGCATGACGCCGATTGAGATTCGTTATCCTCGTCAGACTCTCGTCCCGTGTCAAAGATTGCGCCTCACCGATTGCCCGTCAGGTGTTGTAACTGGCCCAGATTCCGGATAATTTACCAATGGACTGTCTCTTGCGCGCAAATATATCCCGCGGCAGCTGCGGACCGATTTCACAAGTCCGACGAAATCGCCGCGGCTCCTTGCGGATATCGATATCGATGTCTAGATCGATGATATCAGATTTCGATCTCTCTCAAACTAGAAAGGAGAGCGCTAATCGTTCGTCCGATTAATTCGCGTCACATTTGACATTTTCTCAAATTAATAAAATAAACCTAACTTTCTCCTTCCAATTGTGCGCGAAACTTATTGATTTCAATGACACAAACGATTTGTTTGACAGTATAGGGGAAGGAAAAAATTTTCAACGATGCAAACTATATCGCTCGACGAATCTTCCATTAGTAGTTGTTATGTAAGTGGGGCATTAGTGGATTACCGCGTCGACTCAGTCTTTGACCGTGATCGTTTTTCCTCCTTTAAAATTGTTTTCTATCATCACTAACGTTACGTCACGCGGTGACGCTATTACGAGGATTCTTCGTTGTTCAAAGTCGGCTGTTACACATGCCTCGTACACGTGGTATTTTCCCGCGTTTGAATGCGAGAAGAGATGTAAAAGAATGAGACCATCCAGGAAAACGTCGAGGCAACGCAATTAATTGTCGGCTAAGTAATTGCAATTGCAGTCTCACCAGGGATCGCGTTTGCATGTTTCTTCGCGAAACAAAGAAAATTAAGCAACTGCATACTTGATGAAATTTGCTTGTCATACCAAATCAATTGTTTAAACAGATTGCCGAGTTACTCGCGATATGTATATTAAATCATACATTCAATAACACTTAAATACACTTCTTTATCTTTAAATGACGTAATATATAATTATAATTATAATTTTTACGAAACAAAATTTTAAGGCTCACGTCGATTTGAGTCACATAACTTTATATTTTACAACGATACTTATTTTTATTTAAATTTTTTTATTTCCTATCGCTAGCCGTTCCTCTGCAATTTCATTATGCAATTTAAATCCACCGTTATTCGATCGTTGAAATGAAAGTATGTTTTGAATAATTTTTACACAAAATATAAAATATTATATGAATTATAATATTTCTCTCAGAAACAACGACACGCGTTACTACTACGGCACAAAGATCGATGCAAATTGCTCACGGTGATTTCTTTATTCTTTCGCGTCTCTTTTTATTTATTCGCGCTCGTCTCTTTTGCATCCACACGTACATGGATATGCGCACATACACACATGCACACCCCGCTTATGCACACCCCGTGGATTTTGCATACCAAAGGTCTGTCTGCTCGCGGAATGTCGCCCGACCAGAGACACGATCGTCTGAACTTGGCTTTAGCCAATTATACATACTATTTTTCATTGCCCACCGTCCCTCTTCATTGCCGTCTCTCATCTTATTTCTCTCGTTCTCTCCTTTGTATCCTTTGCACGCGCAGATCCGCACAATCGAACCGGCGACGTGGAGGCGTTTACAAATTGCGCGCATAACTCGCGCACCTGCGGTCATCTATGCACACGATGTGCACTGAAAAATACTTTTCATCATTTATCTGCGCACTTGAAAACATATATTGAGCATACAGTTATTATTATCATTACAAAAAATTACATTATCTCTTCAAGATCGATGATAGTAAGACCATGATTTATACATAGGCACAATTTAATGAATCAAAAATAATTAATATTATAACATATCCTATGGCATTTTTGAGAAATATAGAAACAATTTCGATTGATTCTTATATTTTTGACAATGATTACAAATTCCTTGGAACTCTTGTATAAATATAGGTATTATATTTTTTAAGAACAATTTATGAATTTTAATACAAATATATCGCATATTCCTCTCGTACTTTTTACATAAATGAATACCTTTTGAAATACCTGAACAATACAAGTTGAACAATTCATACAAAATAACGCAAAAATAATCCTTTCCCTTTCCGTTGAGACGAGATGCTGTGTCTGATATTTAAGGACCATTGTCTGATATT